TTTTTGTATATATATAGTCAATACGTAAATTCAAATTTAGCATGTTACGGGCCCCTGTGCCCATTACCAATGGTGAAAAGTACGTGTTTTTCCCATTTCGTAAGAGAAATATCCCAAAAGAGAATCAAACAAAACAAATATAATAATATAATTAAAAATGTCCGAACAGCGAAACACGTTTATCAAGAATTGTGTAAGAAAAAAAATATTAAGGATGTACAACACACCTACCCCCCAAAATTCCTGTCGTTTAATTTTCGTTATTTTTGTATATTAAAGGCAGAGATTTTAAGCACCGCCTTCAAAAATACCTTGTCTGGGTAGCCCTGTCAATCAAGTGCATGAAGGTTCATCATTGGATGGTGGAACTTGATTGACATTTACTTACTGGTCTCTGTGTATACCCTGTACACCTTGTTTGGGACTTGTGGTGACCTTATAATTAACTTTTGATCCTTTGATGTTTACTGAACATTGTTTACAGAAACTGTATTACTATGAACATTTTAGACTGATAATATATAAATTAAACATACCTTTAGTATTTGAAAGGATTATGATACAGTATGTTTTTTTTTTAAATTAACCTTTGGTACATAAAACTTTTTTTTTTTCAAATGAAATTTCAATATTAATTTTAATATGGATTATGCTAAATGTTATTGATAAAATTAAGAACAACAATATGTGAAGTAATTAAATTTTAAAATAATGCTTCTAATCATGGGTCACTTATATTTTCCTTTTTTAATCAGATAAGAATTTACAAGCAGTCTTTTAAGCATGTTTCATGGTGAAAAAACTTTATCAATTAAGGTTAGGATAAATCTAGATTTTTTTTTTTTAGTGAAATATAGTTAACACAATTCTTTTTATTTAAGTAATAGAGAGAATCCTGTGGATGAATAAATTTCAAAAGTCGAATTGGGTTGTTACAGTAGTTGTTTTTTTTTTTTTAATTAACACATACACTCAAATCTAAATTAATCTTTGTTTTAATATTGAAATTTATTGTATTATATTTTTTTTAAATGGTTAAGGATGTTTTCAAAAAGTAAAAAATAAAATAATTATAATTGAAAAACCCTTAGTTTTACTACAATCTGACTAAAGCCAGACCTCTATTTACGCTATCGCATAGCGTAAATAGAGGTCTGGCTTTAGTCAGATTGGTTTTACTACTAATTTTAAAATTGTCTCAAAATCCCCAACACAGGTAAAGTTTGACACCTGGGGTATTTCACTGTGTATGAAATCACTTCCTGTGTATAGGGATTAGGAGACAGTTGGCCACAGGTAGACTGCTTGCCCCCAAGGCATTCACACCTGTACAAAAATAAGCCCCTCCCTCACCTGGAATTTACCACCCGGTAAAAAATCTCTGCCTTTAAGTACATGACTATATCTTTATTTTATGTCTTGCTTTTTACGGAGTATAATCCGGTTAATTAAAAAAAGCCAAGCCCCATATCCCAATTTTCTTTCATGATTGATATACATCGGGATTACTCGTCTTTTACTCGTCGTTTTGGCGCTTTATTTTTGACGTTAAATTTGACGTCACATCAAACGTTCAATTGAAATCGCAAGAGTTATCTGCCCCAGTGTGTTGTACATCTTTAAATTGCATGCTCTAAAACTGATCGACCAAATGTAAAATACAGTAAATCACTTTTTTATTTGTGAGAACTTTTATTTTTGCGTAATTACACGCGAAATGTACTCGCAAAAATATTCTCGCGTAGATAAGTATTCCTATAAAAGATAATTTAAAGCAGTATCCACAATTCGTGAAAATTTTGTCTCGCTTATAAAGAGTAAATGTCTATATCGCGAAAAATAAGATGTCATAAAAATTAAGTGATCTACAGTATCTCAATAAAATATCTTGCAAATGAAAAAAAGAAACCCGTGTTTATATTTATTTTGAAAAATGTTTAATACGATATTTTCCCTATTTCAACCAGATGTCGCTATATATTTCCAATTGTAAAGGTCCGGGAACTTTTTTTTAAGACCGAAAAAAATTAAACCCTGTCGTGTAGGTTAGGGCTATGAACCTATATATATACATGATATATAGTGAATATAATCGAGTTTCACCATTTTGAATTGAGATTCACTTTTTTCAGGTCACCACTTTTCTATAAATTATGAATCTATTCAGAAATATCAAATGCAATTCAGAAGAATATACATGACTGCAATACAAATTTTATATACGTCATAATATATATACCTCGATCTATGGTGTTCCGTTGTGAGTGGCCCCAACGGAACACCATATACATCCGATAGGTTTTTTGTTGTTGTTTAAGTTCCTCTCTAGAAGTTTTCACTCATTTATGCATGCAGACGACACCACTTGCCTGTGGAGAGTCGCCAATATTATCCTATAACCGATACTTAGGGCCATTAAGCAGGGAGGGGTCTTTTTCGTTCCAGTACCTACTGCGACGTAAGACCGGTTAAAAACTGTCTCACCCGAAAACCGGTCTCCACGTCCCACAGTAAAAATCGAACGCGCGATGCCCCCGATACGGTTCAACAGATTAAACCAGGTACAAACTAGAGCATCTCGCGCTGATTTTTTTTTTTTACAATCAAGTTAGAAGTGAAAGAAAGAAAAAACCACACTAACTTTCCGTAATTTTATTTTTATGTATAAAGTTATTGTTTAGGATTTTAAATGTGCAACATTATCCTGAGATATTGTCTGTACCAACAATATTCTTCAATAGCACATACAGTAAAACTTGAAAATAGCGAACACACTTATAATGAATTTTAATTACGCTTATACAGCAAAGTACATTTTCCCCTTTGACAATAGAGTACATCGATCCAACATTGAGTAAACGGGTATAACGAATTGCATGCGTTTTTATGTATTTGTTGCCTTCAAAAGGACAATCCAAAATTTGGATTTTTGACAGGGTAAATAAGCAAACAATTGTTGAATGTATTGAAAATTTATTGTGCAAATTAACATAATTTCTGGCATTTTGTATAAGAATAATTGTTTTAAAATTAACTGCATATTTCTTGAACTGGCGTCATACTATATTCTCTTAATTGATATTTTGTGTAAAATTAACCCAATTTTCATTCTTGGGGTTGAAAACGGATGCATCAACCTGATCAAAGAGATATCATTTGTACATCCATAATAGGCCGGACAAAATTGACAATTGCAATTTTCACAACATTCCTCCAATGTTATCCCATCGGATGGTTCTCTACCTGAAAAAAATATATATTTGTTGTAATTCTCTTCTTATTCACGATAACTTTACTTCCACGTACTTTTAAGTACCGATCTGCTCGCAAAATTCAAAATCGTTTCGAGTAATGTATTGTCAGTGAAGATTATATATACAATATATAAAACAGTACCAAAAATTCATGAAAGTTTTGTCTCGCTTATGAATACCAAAGATATATCTTGTAGAAATATTTATTATCGATCTACATAATAAATGTTCATATTTGAAAGTTGACTTTATTTTAAAATTATCATTTCATGTTATAAAAAATAATGGGAAGGCTTAGTCAATAAATCTTAAAGTAAACGTTCTATTTTGTAAAAATCATAAAAGGGAAAGATTTCGTCAACACTTCATCTTAACTGTTTAACCCCCCATAAAAAAATGTTGCACTCAATGTATTTTGTTAGTAAATCTGTCACTGTGGAGTACGTTAACAGTGCATCAATCATGTTATATCATCAAGAACATGGGTAAATGTAGTAACCCAAAATGCCTGTTGTGCTACAAACAAAAACGCTTAATGAGTCAAAATCTTGTGTTTTTATTTTAAGAAAGCAAAAGATTCAAGATTCATGGTAAAAAAATGGAAAAACGAAGTTGTGACAATTTGTCATCGAAAAGATATCTAAGAAAGAACTAAACAAAAATCTGTATGTTTCAGGTAAAAATTCTATCTTTCTTAGTTTTCCCTAGTTTGCGTCACGGTGCATGTGGCGCATTAAGAAAGTGAATAATTAAATTTCAGTCATGGCAAAATTTACAGAGGATATTCAAAGAGATTTTTTGGAAGAAACATTGCAATGTGGCAATAACTAAGGCAGTTGGAGTCCATGTTAACAAGTTTATGTTTGAACTGAAAGACAATTCATTCTTATACAAATATGGACTCAATGTAGGTCAATATGCATTTATAATGACCCAGGATGGCAGATATTGACCGAAGATACATGGAGTATATCGACCGAGGGCGCAAGCCCAAGGTCGATATACTCCATGTATCTGAGGTCAATATCTGCCATCCTGGGTCATTATAAATGCATATTGACCGTGCATTGAGTCCATATTTATTATATTATATAAATAATAATTTCCCAAATGTATTAGTACTATGTGTATCTTCCTAATGTTTACAGAGATGGTGTTTACCATAAATAAGTTGAATATAAACGTTTCAGAATTTTTTTAATGTTACTCACAGGAACTTGTTTCGGTAATAGATTTTAACCTATAACTAAGCATGATAACACAAGGTATCTCTCTCCGAATAACACAGAGTACCCCCTCCCCAGACTTCAGGCGCGTAGCATCGTTTTTGGAAGTGGGGGGGCCAACCTGAGAAAAAATTTGTTTTTGCCCAAAGTCGAAAATCCTATTTCGTGGGGGGGGGGGGGGGGGGTAGGGGCTAACTTTTTTCCAGACCAACTATCTTTCAATTCAAACTTTTTGGGGTAAATTTTCTTTCTAACACTACCCTTTGCTGAAATGTGGGGGGGCCAACCTTCCTTTCAGTAAACATTTTCTATAGTAAAGGTAATGTCGGCAGAAAAAGTGGGGGGGGGGGGCCTGGCCCCCCCCCTGATACTACGCCCCTGGACTTAGAATCGCACTCATTTACACTTGCAAAGGAAATGCACTGAAAAAATATTAACATCTATAGATGTCTTTTACGCTATTTTATCTATACAATAGTACATGGCATGCTTGTCTTTATTTACTTTAGTCTCCGAGTCCGTAATCGCGTAAACAGCGTCAAATGTCTGCTCGCCGAGTGGAAAAGTCGAATTCAACAATGAAATGGTATATGTAGTAAGTATTCCCGAAAAATGCTAAAAGATATCCTTGATAATTGTTTTGTATTCTCACCTTCAGAGTTCTTCAATATATATCTTTTAAATTTTCCTCGCCTAAAACTTCCAAACTGTTTGACTAAAGCGAAAGTGAAAACGAGGCAGCTCGTGCGAGTCATTATTCGCTTTCAGCGGTCATTATTAAAATATAATTACTTCGTATTGACCAATCAGATTATCGGATTTCACAAAGTTATATAATATTATAAAATAACGATATACATAATGCAACGTAATATTTCATATACATGTATGAATCTATTTAATATACAATGACTTAAAAATAAATACACATTCTCTCTTTTCTAATAGTATAGATGTATAAATTTATTACTTACCCACTGAAAATGCCTGGGTTGAAATAAATAGTTTAAATACCATATAAAGGATTAAAAATAACCAAGTTGTTTGCATTGTGTGCATTGTATCAACTAATACACAAAGAAGGTCTGCATCAGCTATAAGCTATTTTTCTCACTCAATGTTTTACCTTTTTATAATAAATCGTAACGAACAATTTAGCCGGAATTTCCACTTAACAATATGGAAAATCACATTTTACATGAAGTGATCAATTAAGCTAATTTTACACGTTATAAAAATCCATTTACATTACGGGTTTTTTTGGGGGGGAAAGTTTGGGCATGAATAATTATTTTCTTCATGCGTCTTTTCATGCACATGTAAACCTATTTTTCTTTTAATTTTCTGACGAGATGGTTCGCGTCGTCATACATGTAGTTCGTCAACTCGCACTATTAACATGAGTAAACGTAAGGTAAAACCGATTAATTTCATTATTCAGCGTAATCTTTTTCTTTAAAAAAAACTATGGGGTTTATACACCCCTGTCAACGCGCGATCGGCAACGCGGATGCGATCGGCAACGCAGATCAAAACATTGAAGAAGAAAGTATTGTAGGGGGTAAATTTTAATAGTTTTGTATGTGCTGGAGTGTAACCAGCTGAAAATAAAATTAGCAAACATTTAGTTCAGATAATTATCTACAGTTTAGGATTTATCGAGGGTAAATTTGTTTCACAGTTTCTGTGCAAATGCTACTGATCAAATCGACATTGTTCAAAATATCAAATTTTCATGCTTTGAAATAGTTTATTGTTGTTATTACCTAAGAAAAATTGCTGCTTTTGTTATGTAACGGTTCTTGGAAGTATGAACTAAATGATTTTAAAATTAAAACCACATACATTACCTTAAAACAAATTTTAACTGGAAAATTTGATAACCGCGAGGCGATCGTCAACGACATTATCTTTTTGTGAAGCGATCGTACAACATAGAAATAGCGATCGTACAACACACGAAATAAGAATAGCACAAATCAGAGAATTTTGTTGTCAAAAAGTTTATTTTGATATACAATAGATATTTTACATTTAAATTAGGCAATCAGTCATTGTAATGTACCTTTTTAACTCTTAAAATTGTCCTACATCAATACAGAAAATTGAAATTAACTACGTAGATTAAACAGATACAATTGAAAAAGAGTTTGATGGCTAACAAAAATGTAAAGTAGAAATTTTACCTAAATTTTCATAACAGTGTCACCCCTCCCTCCCCCCCCCCCCCAAAAAAAAAACCCTTAAATATCATAGATGGTTTATCATGCAAAGTGTAAGTAAAGGAACATTTTCTAAACTCAAAATTCAATTTCGGAAATGTGGTGTGTGGGATGGAGGGAGGGGGTGTTATGATTCAAGTTCTTGAACAACCAAATTTTATCAAAAAATACCATCTGTCTTACCCGGATTTGACTATATACTGCAAACGGGGGACAACCAGTCTATTGGTTTAGCCCCCCCCCCTCCATTTCAAATTAGCCCCCCTTTAATTTGCTTCCGACGCCTATGAAAGTAAAGTTTTCACCCCACCCCCGATTCTACAATGTACATGTACATACATGATATTAAAATTGGCAATTAATTAGAAAAAATAATACTAATAATAATACCAGTGACTGTTTTCAGTAAATTAAAATATATCATGTAATACATAATGTTGTTATATTATTACGTGCGTGTACAACACATTTTTACTGAAAACATTTACTGAAAATATTCGGTTAAGTTGCTACATGTAGGTATGCAAATTCCTTTGATCGTTATTTTTATAGTATTAATACACATTTTTTTTATTTTCTGGAAAAAATACAGTTTTTGATATGTATGCCAACTTCTGTTGACCTGCCATATCATAACCAGGAACCCCCCCCCCCCACCCCCAATATAGAGGGTTTCAATATAGACCCCCAGGCCTGTTAGAATTTTTTCACATAAATTATATATGAATGACACATTTGTGATATAATCTATCCTATCAATTCAGAAAATTTGCTTAAACTTACATTTTATAAAAATATCTACCCTCTCTATATATACAAATTTTTATATAGAGAATGTTGGGTAAATTTAATAGAACATTTGTTTTAGGTAATTTTTCGATTTGCTGGTATAGATCTTATCACAAATGTGGCAATAAAAAATTTTTTATGAGAAAAAAATCGAAAAAGCCCAGGGATCTATATCGAAAAGGGGGGGGGGGGGTGTCCTGTCCTCAAGCACCTGTGATCATAGACAATAAAACCTTTTTTTCTATATTGCTAAAATTTGGTCCTATAACACTCTATAGGTATCTGTTTTAAACAATAATCAAATAATATCAAGTTTTAGGGTTCCATGGAGTTTTAAATTTTGTTCTCTTAAAATACGGACATTATTCAACTAATATACAAGAACGTCAGTTAAATTCGCTCTTTCTCTCTCGAAAATCAAATGTTTGGTATCTCGTTCTATTTCGACAGACTTTCCACCCATACCACATGGCTATCTATTACTTTATTTCATTAAAAGTATTTTATAAATTTCAAGTTGCACGATCGCATGTTTATCATATTTTCTTTGTTGTACGATCGCATATAGAGTCGTTGCCGATCGCCAAAACGTTTGGCATGTGTTCACTTCAAACCGTTATTTCAACGCTTTCTATTTGATGAAGAACTTCAAATCGGATTTAAGATTTATGATTTACCTATTTACAATGTAAATGTGCCTTTTGGACTGTCGGGTATACGTAATAAGGTAAGAAATACCACTTAAACGAGCTTTAAGTGTCACGTTAGGGCAGTCATGTTCAAGGAAAACTTAACTTTAACATAATATATAGTGATTTTTAATGCGTAGGGGACTTTTATGGTGTTGAACATGTCCAGTAGCATTTTAAAAGTCAGAAATGTTGAAGGATAATTGCGAGGAAATGGGACAAAATAATGTTTTATTTAACCTCATCTTCCTCACGTAGTTGAGTTTAGCTATCCGCGTTGCCGATCGCATCCGCGTTGCCGATCGCGCGTTGACAGGGGTGTTATACTGGGAATAAAGAAATCACACTCAGGAAGCTTTGACAAAAATATCGATAAGCATTGAGGTTTTAATGATGGAATAGATTGTTACTATTACTATAAAATTAATATTGATTTTTTTTTCTTTTTTTTTTTTTTTTTAGTAAATTAGCTATGAAGTGAAATATCGAACTTCGAGGTTGGCCAAATCATTTTTATTAAAAACATGCAGCCAAAAACTTTTTATTTTATGATTTAATAATTTCTTTAGTTAGTAACATCAGTCCGTAAGTAAGACTTTTCTACACTTCATAAAACCATTTCTCACTTAAAAAAAAGTTTTTTGTTACCATAGAAACTGCTTTTTTGTACAAAAAATGCAACTGGGGAAATTTCTTATATATCTTTTGATTGCTAATTAACAAAATTAGTTTGTTAAAAATCACTGCCAAACTAACAACTAAATTGTATATCACAAATGAAAGGACTTCGGCTATATATAGACTTCCTCTGTACTAGTAATATTACGCTACCATGACCATGGCAACACCGTTCATCGAAATCCAAAATCCATATACGGAATTATGTATCTTAGTGTAGTCTACTTGTGTGCCAAGTTATATTGAAATCAGACCGCTAATAATAAATACCTTTGAAGTAGCATTTTGAAAATTGTTTACAGATAGACCGACAGACGGACTGCTAGAAAGAAATTTTTTCACGTATAAATATTTTTTTTTTATTTTGTAACACCGTTTTCTGTACACAGGCAAAATTACAACGCATGCTCAACATAGTTTTTAAACATTTTAAACATACTACGGAAAATGCATATGTTCAACGCATGTTTAACGTATGTTCAACATATGGCTCTCAGAACATGCTGAACATACGTTGCAATTTTACCTGGGTAAGACGGACAATTTCTTGTTATAGAACGGTACACATGTCCACCTCAAAAATCACCAACTTCATTCCAATCAGCTGCAAGGTGGTATTACAAGAGCCACGGTGTGGACTTTCGGTGGGCAATTCCTTCACGACATCAAATATTTGGTTTCCTTTACACCACTTTGGATTATTTTACTCATAATTGTATGTCACCAACTGTAGCTTGGATTGTAAAAGAATAAAGTTTATAAATTTAAAACTAGGTGTTTAGCGTACTCGAGAGGTAACAAGAATAAACAGGTACATGTATGTCGTAAAAAAAGTAATTCTAATCACGTAATGCAGATGTTGAATTTGGACAACATTCAACACATCGGACAGAAGATAAGAAATCAATCACCAAAGGTATTAACTTTAATTCATATACATGTGGCCATGTACATGTGTGATGTTGGACAAAATGTTGTTTTGTCATCCTGGTAGCATGTCAGGTTCAAGTTCAGGTGGATATGTCGGTGCTGGTTCATCGCGGCAGTCACTCGTACAACAGCACCACCCAGGCCGGTTACCTGAAAATAAAACATGTTTATTGATATGGAGGAAATATAAAGAGGTAACGAACAGTAAATACACACGAAAGTCCATCGGGAGCAGAGCATAGGCATACCTCTTAAAACATATCAGCCATGGGATCAGTGTCCATGGAGGAGTGAGCATCCCCTGCCGACCGGGTCAAACCCTGCGTGTGTTCCCCGTCATGACCGGGAAATAACAAGAAAAATCCGTTGACGATATATTATACTGTGAATGTACTTTTGAGTCCGAATACTGTTCGGTATCTCCATATATTTCATTATTCATTTCATTTTGATAAACATCTGTAGTTTTCATTTCAGTCCATTATTTAGTGACAAAAATAATTAAAGCATGTTACACTATAACTCTTTTGAAACACATGTTAGTCTTACAGAAAAAAACCCAGAAACTTTCATCTTTGTTAAATGCATGAATAAAAATTTATACATTTCAAATTTGTTTTTACATTTCTCCTTAATATTCTTTTCATCATGTGAAGAACCCACATTGATAACTCTCTCTCTCTCTCTCTCTCTCTCTCTCTCTCTCTCTCTCTCTCTCTCTCTCTCTCTCTCTCTCTCTCAAATTACATACCAATATAGAATCCCTGGACTGAATAACTTGAGATACATACATGTACTATAAATGCCACCATTAAGATAATACACAACCAAGGCATACTCATTTAGAGTGACATACAAATAACAGATATATTGAATGTCGGCAATTGTCATTTATATAGAACGTAGTCATCTGTTTTATGTTTTTGTAATTAATTGTAACCATTTATTCAACCTGGAATTTCCACTTTCGGAAAAAAAATAAACAAGATTAAATTAAAAAGTACAGTTTGTATATTCCTATTACACATTAACTCGGTCATTTTTCTAGCGGAATACTTTAGAAGAACAAATTTTCGTGGGCATAAAATTTCGTTGCTTTGTCTTCAAAAATAGTTTCGTCGGCATTTAATTTCGTTGTTTTGACAGTTACCCTATTCAATATATAGTCATTAAAAATTTTGTATGGGATTTAATTTCGTTGAATATTGTTAACAACGAAATAAAAGAAATTTGATCCCCCACGAATATTTGTGCTTTTACAGTAGTTAATCGTTAAAAATTTCACTAACCGAATTTCTAAGTCGCCTAATCATATGGTAGTAATATGTTTTTATACTTTTTATGTGAAGTTTCGGGGGTATATAGTTTTTGTCTTGTCCATCCGTCTATCTGTCTGACTGCTTGTATGTTTGTCCGCAAAAACTTCAACCTTGCCCATAACTTTTGATGTAGGGAAGCTATGACTTTCATATTTCACATGTGTATTTCTTATGACAAGACCTTTCTTTGGGTGGATACTACCAAATTTGACCCTTTGACCTTGGAGTTTGACCAACTTTTACACAAAAATTCCGAACATTTGCTTTTGCCATATCTTTTGAACAGTAGACACCAGGACTTTTATTCTTCATATAGGTAATTTTTGTGGAAAGACCCTTTATTGAGTACCAACAACCTTGACCTTTTGAGCTCGACCTTGAAGATTTTCGTGCTTCTGAAAGAAACTTTAACCCTGGCCATAACTTTTGAACGATAAGCCTTAGGGCTAGGGCTTTGATACTTCACATATGTAATTCATGTGAGAAGACGCTTTATTGGATATCAAGAAATTTGACCCTTTGACCTTGGAGTTTAACCTACTTAAAAAATAAAATCTTGACCATAACTTTTGAAGGGTTTGGACTAGGGCTTTCATACTTCGAATTCAAATATATTTTTGTGACAAAACATTTCATTTGATATCAAGAACTTTGACACTTTGACCTTGACCTTGGAATTTGACCCATTTTTACACAAAAAAATCCAAACTTTTATTTTGACCTAATTTTTTAAACGGTTGATACTAGGTACTTCATACTTCAAATATCAATTTCTTTGTTGCAAGACTATTCATTTGAAACAAAAAAATGACCTTTTGACCTTGACTATAAAAATTTCCTTACTTACGAAAAACTTTAACCTTGGTCTTACTTTTGAACGGTAAGGGCCAGGGCTTTCAGACGAACTTTGACGCTTTGACCTTGGATTTTGACCTAATTTTTACAATCTTTAACCTTGTCCATAACTTTTGAACAGTAAAGGCTATAGAGCTTTTATACTTCACATCTGTAATCCATGTGACAAGACCTTTCATTGGATAAAAAGAACCTTGACCCTCTGACCTTCACCTTGGGGTATGACTTACTTTTTACAAGTTTTAACCTTGGCCATTACTTTTGAACCGTAAGGGCCAGCGCTTTCATAATTCTCATATATAATCTTTGAGACAAGGCCTTTCTTTAGAAACCCCTTGACCTTGGAGTCTGTCCTACCTTTAAAAACGTTAACCTTGGTCATAACCTTTGAACAGGCGATGCTAGGGTTTTATATTTCACATTTGTGTTTTCTGTGAAAAAGCCTTATTTCAGGTATAAACATATTAAGGTTTCGTCAAAGGTCAACATGTCTAAAACATTAATTTTACAATTGCTCCAAAATTATGTGTGGTATGAAGTCAAAACTTTTACATTTTGTAAATATATCACTGATAAATAGATAGAAAGTATTACATGATAACAAATATTTTTATAAAGATATTTTTTGAGAAAAATTGTATCAGAAAATGTGCATATTTTTAAAAAATGCACCTGCTTTATTCTGTCCTTTTTGTGAAAACCAACATTGTAGATATAATTTATGTTTATCATTGAAGGGCAAGTTGGACATGAATGGTCTCTGAAAGCCTGTTATTGAAAGCATGACATGTATAAAGACAAGACCCCTATAGAATCCGCCATTTGCAGTGTACTTTCACTTTCAAGTCTTAACATTTGGACAAAATAAACAAGGAAAACAACTTTCCAGAGGCTATCCAAGTCCAACTTGCCCTTCATTGATAAACATATTTTGTTTCTGCAATTATGGTTTTAACTAAAAGCATAGAATTAATTAGGTGTATTTTTTTGAAATTATATGCATTTTTAAGAAGAATTTTTCTCAATTAATATTATTCCAAGTATCATTTTTATCAACTGATACTTTCTATCTGTTAACCAATAAATAATTTATAAACTGTAAAAGTTTTAACTTTATACCTTACATACTTTTGAGGCTATTGTAAAAATAAAATTTTGGACATGATGCCCTTTGACGAAACCTTAACCGTCGTTATATGTTGCCATACGGGAGCATCAGTGTTTCACAAACACATCTTGTTCCTTGTGTTTAGCTGGTTGCTTACTAGATCTTATCAAAGTTATTTGCAGTATTAATTATTTTCTTCGATGTTCGCGGCAAATGTTTTATATGCACCGCTAGTTTTGCTAAAATAATAAACTGGAAATAACCTTAGACTAATCTCTACATAGTTTTTTTTTCTTCAAAATTCCTTAACTAAATTGAAAAAAAAAAACAAGAGTAAAATATAACTTAGAAAAAAGTAGGTCAAGGATTTCATCAGCTGTGTTGGCTTAAGTACAGTATATCATTTATATTTTGTAAGTACTATGGCCGATACAAAGACCTTGTCAGCTAATACAATCTTCATTGATTAAGTCAAATGCTGAGTAACTTTTTGAATAAAAATTGTTAGACCATTGTTCACACAGAATTGTTGAAGGATTTTTCCGTTAATTATTTCCTGATAATGATAAGTAGCACACGATGGGTGTATAATTATATCATTGGTGGGCAAGGGATGTTCAATTTTCCATGGCACCTGATCCTACCTCTTATATTAAGAGGTCCGTTTTATCTCCTCTCCTGAATTGTATTGTTTTAATGGAATTTTGAGCTTGAATACTGATTGTAATCTACATATATTTCACTGTGTTTTATACAATGAAAGGGGTCGTCTACTCTTTTAATTTACTGGTGTGCATTGGGAATATATCCATATATAACTGTAACAGAGAGGAATGGAAATCTTTAGTCCTTGTCTCATGTATTATGCCCGGATAGGGTCATTTGCAAAAGTTCAACAGCATGTTCAGAAAAACACACCTTTGCGCTGACACACAACGCGCTGTCACGCTAATACGAGTTTGCACAACACCTCGTCGCGCTAACACACAACACGCTGTCACGCTAACACGAGTTCGCACAACACGCCGTCGCGCTAACACACAAAGCGCTGTCACGCTAAAGTTACGAGTTCGCAAACATCCTTTCGCGCTTTCAAGCAACACGCCGTCGCGAGTTGTGTTTTAGCGCGTCGGCGTGTTGTACGAATTCGTGTTAGCGTGACAGTTACTTGTACTACGTTACATTGATAACTGTGACTTAGTGCATCCATTTGGTTTAATCATGTGAAGACACCAGTCTGAGAGACAACCTGTTTGTGGCTGAGATTAGCAGTAGTAAAATGAAGAAAATCAAATACGTACATGTAAACATCGTGTAAACAAAAACTAAATTTGTGGCTGAGTGAAATAAAATTGTGAAAAAAATTCTACTACATCTAACTTGCTGTGGCCCCGAAATACGAATTGTGAGGAAAAGAACATGAAAACATGTTTTCAGTAGAAGATCCTAAGAAATAACGGGGTTCTAAAAGTACATATCCGAGCGAAAACCCTAACTTTATCGTCCATTAATAAAATTACGACATTTCCGAGGTATGTGTATTGACTTCAGATGTACCATTACGATAAATAGATACATACGATCACCAATAGACTTGTCATCTCTACTCTTGATAAAAATGAAGTCCACATCAATAAAATTTGTTCATCGATATTCAACGTGTTGTTTACATGTTTATGTTACGTTTGTCCTAAAAATCCCGCGAGATTTGTACATTCTCCGACTTTTTCACAAAAGAGCGCACTAAGAACTAACTCTTCAATAGTGGAAATAGAACTATTTACGTTCATGTATAAACATGATACATTTTTTTTAAATACTAAAAATCACTTACAGGCACGTTGCATAAAAAAGCGGAGGGGCTTCCCCTCCCCATGGCCACCCCTGTTGCTACGTGCCTGACTTATATTACTCTTTTTGTGTACAATATTAAAGGGATCTGTATTTTAATTTGACGCAACCAATGAGCAGAAATTAAAATTTATTGATAAGCTTGGATTGTAAAAGGATACAGTTTGTTTTGTGGATCAACAAATCAACAAACAAACGCCTGTAAAACCAGTAGGGAGTGTTTGCGTTCTGGAGGGGGAACGGGATTAAACAGTCATGCAAAAATAAAAAGTAATCATGCTTTTCACGTATTACCGATCGAGGCTGAATGAACATGATAGATCAATATTCTACACATCTCAAGAAAAGAAATTATTAGTTTTATTCATATACATGTACATGTCTAATGATGAACAAATTTCTGTTAAAGACCTTTGGCACCCTGCTAGCGAGTTGCTGCGCTTCTTAAGATGTCTTAAAATGGTGGTGGTGGAACGCATGGGCAGCAGCAACAGCTACAACAACACCCCTCAGGTGGTTTACCTGAAAACATAAAACATACATGTTCATTGATACCAGGCCCGTAGGAAGCAATTTAATTTGGGGGAGGGGGGGGGCAGCCAAACATTTTCACGGGGGCTGGCACTATATGTACCAACTACCAAAAAAATTAATTTCTTGACAAGGAGAAAGATTGGTCTTCGGACGTTTTATGGAGGGCACAAGCATAGTAACTAGGTTTTCTTTACTAATCTATATAAATTATATCGGGAAATTAAGGGGGAGGGGGCTTCCTACGGCCATGGGAATCCGAAGATAAGCTCAAAAGTCCATTTGAAATGTACAGTTTCAGAGCAGAAAAAGGCGGACCTTTGAAAAGATCAAAGGTGGGATTGGGTGCAATGTAGGAGAAAACACCCACTGTCGATCAGTCTCTTCCGTCATGTGCTCCTTGTCATGCTTGGGAAAACAGACAAATACGTAGACAATTCAGTGTGAGAGTAATATCCTATCAATAAGTATGAAAAAGTACGTCAACATTCGATATAGGCCTACCGGAAATTACTAACAAAGTCATCGTACTGATCATAGAATTAAGTTTTTTAAACGTAGACACTGTAGATCTCTTGCATGGTCAACTCATTTGTCAATAGCTTTTATCACCTTAAAAATTGTTCGCACATATTTTCAAATGTTTCTGTTTCTTTTCTTCTTCTTTTTTTGAGTAAACTCGGGTGACCTTTTGCTATCCGTTTTCGTCCGTCGTCTTGCTTTGTTCGTCGTGTGTTAACATTTGAACATTTTAAGCGTCTTCTCTGCAACCACTCAACCAATTTCAACCAATTTAGCATAAAGGATTTATGGGTGAAGGGGAACATAAATTATGAATTTCATTGTCCCTACCTCCTGGGGCCTGAGGGTTGGGGCCAAAACCACTAAAATTAATGCAATCTTTAAAAATCTTCTTCTTTACTCCGGGACATCAAGCAGTCACACTGTTTGCATGATTGTAATCAGCATTGAGTCCTCTACTAAAATTGTGAAATTCAAGGCCCTGGGGTCAAGGGTTCTTAGGTGTTAGTGTGGGGCTATATAGATTATATAGAGAAAATGCATTATTTCTTTGAAAAGTTTTTTCTTTGCTCCTGGGTGTTCAATAATCAAACCAAATACGTACATGTAGTTATGTTGAATAAAGCTGCCACTTCCAAAATTATGAATTTCATGGCCCCAGGGTTAGGGGTTCTGGTGTAAGGACGGGGCTCTATTAATTAAATTGTAAAAAAAAAGCATAAATTCTTTAAAAATCTTCTTCTTTGCTCCTGGGTGTTAAACCAACTAACCAGTAACCAAGTACATAGTTTTATTGAATAGGATTGTCTCTTCTAAAATTGTGAATTTCATGGCAAAAGGGTCAGGGGCTCTATTGATTATTTAGTGAAAATACATTATATTAAATTCTTTAAAAATCCTCTCTTCTGTTCCTAAGTATAATTAACCAATGAACTATGTGCATAGTTAAGATGATGAAGAATGCCTCTTCCAGATTTGTGAATTTCAGGGCCCCAGAGTTAGGGGTTTAGGTGCTAGGAGCGGGGCTCCAATGATTAGGGGAAATGCTTGAATTCATCGAAAACCTTTTCCTTTGCTCCTGGGTATTATGCCAATGTTCTAAGTACATATTAATGATGATGAGAGGTGCCTCTTTCAAAATGATTAATTACAGGGCCCCTGGATCAGGGTACTTGGGGTGGGGTGGGGGTTACATAGTCTGAAAATAAATTAATGCTTTGAAATCTGATTTTTCGTATTAATCAACCTTTTATGATGAATAAAATTTATAATAAAATTTCCAGAATTTTAAAATATGTGCCCCCAGGGTCAGTGGTTTCTTAGGTGGGTTGCACAACTGGTTATAAAGTGGAAATGCATGCATTTTCTCTTTGTTAATCTGATCTACCACTGGATATTAAGTAACCAAAGTAAGCATGATAATTAGTGTATTGTTATGATAAAGAATGGTGCCTCTTTCAAAATTGTGAATTTCATGGCCTCTGGTTTAAAACACGAACCAAATTCAATTGTTTGAAAGTTGTTACATAATACTCAGGTGACCTATAAGGCCCGTGAGCCTCTTGTTTATTTTTTTATATAACGCGAAAGCCCATTAGTTGAGCTCTTTTTTTAAGTTAAAAAAAATTGCTTTATAATCCAAAAATTTTGCGAATAAACGCTTAAATTTTGCATTATATAAGAAAATAAGCTCAATAGGATTTCGTAAAATAGAAATTATAAAGTTTGGAGTAAAAAAAATAAATAACATACCAATAAATAATCCCTGGATTGAATAACTTAAAATACATAGTATAAACATCACCATTAGGACGATAAATAACCAAGACATCCGCATTTTGTGTGATGTACAAGTCAAGATATATCATAAAATGTATATTGAATGTCTTCAATTGTTATTTATGTAGTATACGCAGTCATCTGTTATTTGTTTTTGTATTTAATCGTAACGATTAATTCAGCCTGGATTTTCCAGTTTCCAGGAATAAATAAACAAGATTTAAAAATTATCTTATGGAGATTCCCATGTTGTTGTTTTTTTAGCTCACCTGAGCCGAAGGCTCAAAAGAGCATCTCTGATCACATTTTGCCCGGCGTCCGTCTGTCTGTCCAACTGTCTGTCTGTATACTTTTTACATTTTCTACTTCTTCTCAAGAACCGCTGGGCCAATATCAACCAAATTTGCCACAAAGCATTTTTGGGTGAAGGGGATTCGAGTTTATTCAAATGAAGGACCACACCTTCATTAAATGGGGGGTAATTGGGAATTAATGAAAATTTGGTGGCATGTTTTAAAAACTTTTTTCTCAAGAACCACTGTTCTAGGAAAGATGAAACTTATGGGGAAACATCCTCAGGTAATGTAGATTTAAGTTTGTTCATATAATGACCCCTGGGGTAGGTTGGGTCCAAAATGGCCGACAATGTTTTACATAGAAATATAGAAGTACCTTTAAATTCTTCTCAAGAATTTCAATGCCATAATTGATCATATTCATGAATATGGAAGCATCCTCAGGTTGCGTAGATTCAAGTTTGTTCAAATTATGACCCCTGGGGGTAGGGCGGGGCTACAATAGGAAAATTAATTAAAAATCATCTTCTCAAGAATAGCAAAGCATGATTGGTCATGGGACTACTTTCGGATTTAAACTTTTCAGTAATAAACCAATTTATACTTTTTCTTGCCATATTGCTCTTTTGAAAGTGAGCGATGTAGCCCATGGGCCTCTTGTTACTGTATATATGCATTAAATATAGGGTCGTAAAAAGATGTTAATACAATTAACTTGAGTCATATTTTTGTGAAATACATATTATAATGTAATTAATGTAGTAGTCAGGTGCTACACAAAATTAGGTGGTATTATTAGTTTTTCCTTGTGTAAATGCTGGTTGCTTACTAGAAATGGCGTAGTTAATGATTACATGTATAGTTAAGATATTTTTCTTGTGTTCATCTTATTTAAAAATGCAGAAAATTGACCTGTATTTCACGCTAGATTTTATCAAAGTTGTTATTTGCATACACAAGATTGATTATTTTCTTCGAGGTTCACACAAATATATAGTGGTCATAAATTAAATGCACTGCAAATTTTGATAAACGAAAAATATATTGGAAATAACCTTAATATTATAATTCAGTTTTTCCATTTCATTTTGCCATCAATCACAGAACTGAAACTGACAAGCTTGTAAAGTTTTACCGGTTGTGATGGCTTTGAGTATATACTGTATATCATTTTCAAATTTGTAAGTCCTGTGGTCGATGAAATAACCTTGTCAGCAAGCACTATCTATCATTAAGCCAAAGCTGACTGACGTTTTCATACAATTTCATTATTTTTTACACACCGATGATCGACACATTTTTTCTGTTGTTTTCCCGATCATGTTAAGAAGCAACAACAGGTATAGAAGTGATTGGTTTGCAAGGGATGCTCAATCCTCCATGGCATCTGATCCTACCTTTCATATTTTTATGACGTCCGTGTTTGCTCCTATTTTGTAATAGTGGATCACTCTTAGGTCAAAAGGTCAAATTTGGTGGTATCCAAAGAAAGCGCTCGTCAGAAGAAATACGCCTGTGTAACATGAAAGTCAATGCCCCACAATTCACACGTTATGGGCAAGGTCAGAGTTTTTCAAGGACAAATAGACAGACATCAGGACAAAATCTCTATACCCCAGCCAAGTTTTGATAATGGGGGAAAAAAGAAAGATGAGAATTATACTTATGTATGACATCAGGCCTGGGAGCATAAAACTTTTACAAGCTCACTTTTGATCTCGGTCTCACTTTTTCAAAAGGAATATACTGTATAGTGGAAAAGTGAGACGGAGATCAAAAGTAAGCTCATCTAAGTTTTATGGCCCCTAGAACTGATGTTCAGTTGAACTTTGATTTCTCAAACACCAACATCTCAAATACCATGGACAAACACTCTATACCCCAGCCAAATTTTTGATTGAGGGGGGGGGGGAGTAAGATGAGAATTATACTTATGTAAGATATCAGATTTACAGTTGAAATTTGATTTCTCAAACACCAATATCTCAAATACCATGGACATGTGGAAGTTCCCATCATTTATTCTTACAATAGTTTACACTGGATATCTTGAATCCTTGGATATCATGTTTTTTTTTCCATTGAGTTCAAAATTACATGGTTTGACTGTAAACATAATTTTTCGCAGTATGTAGCACTAAAACATAATAATTAATCCTCTAAAAATTTTGAAAAAAGTTTATTTGTTCACATTGGACATTTTAGTGATCAGTTTGAAAAATAGCAAGTCATCACACAATTTTTAAAGTATGCAGACTTTGGTATGTATAATCACATCCATTATGGAATGTGTAAAACATGATTTAGTATTATTTATAATCACATGAATTTAAATTGTGGTCTCAGTTAAAATTGCTCAGTCAGACAAACAATTCAAAACAAAGTACCACAAATCACTTTTTATTTGTGAAAACCTTTAATTTCACTTGATTGTAATTCAAAATGCAAAAATTTCATTTGCACATATATTTGTATGCTTTAAAATTAAACAGAGCGTTTAATAACAAAAATTTAGAAGTTTTTGTTTTTCTAACAAAAAGTATATAACTGTATTATAATCTCCTAAAAAATAAAAAAAAAATTTGATCTACATTATTCATAAAATGACCTGTTTAAGAATAATTTGCAGTAATCATCAAATTTCATTTCATCATACATGTAAATGTAAATGAAATGGTTTAACATGTTCTTTCTGAAAATGGTCCATAGCTTCATCATCCCATCATAAATGGTAATGAACAGTATTCATTTACATCTAGTGTATAAAAGTCAATATGTAACTTAAAACTGTTAGTTAAATTTACACTTTGAAAAATCCATCTCTGGATGCTGCTTCATAAATCTGAAAAAAGAAGAGGACAGAATATTTAGCACAATATTCATATTGATGAAATATTTCTTCAAATACAATCAAGACAAACATATACTTTCTCAAATAAGAAATAAACAAACACGCTTGGCAGGAAAGTTAAAATAAACCAGAACTCTATTCAAATTTTTCTCTTGCATTTTCAAACAGACTTTGAATCACATCAAACATTACATGAAAACGATACTCTGCCTTATCTACATAAATTACCATAAATCTATACATGGCCTTGTCCACATCAATTAATACAGTATATATTTATGACTGTATACCCGCCGGTATCTGTCTAATATAATTTACTTGATTGCTTAAGGTGACTTTCAAATTGGAGGGGCACGTGAGGAATTTACCAATGACCCACTTACAATAATTTTTGCTATAATTTGTTTCCGATTTTAGATTAATATTTTCCTGTGTGTTGGGTTATGACATCAATAGCTAATCTTTTATGAACAACTCAAATTCAACAAAAATATATGATCTTTAAAATCCGAAAGTACTTGTGTTTTATGCATATGGAAACAAATAGATCTTCTTTTCTGAAATTAAATCAAGTTCAGACCTTTGGATGTTCCAAAAATCAAATAGTTAATACACCACAATTCTTCAAACAATACATGTATCATTAGTATTTTAATCCCCCAACCACCACTCCCCCTTCTCTAAGTTCAAAGAGTGACTTACTTTCCAAGGATTTCCCCATCCCCACCCCTTCTGAATGACCTACCGTAATTTTTGGATTACAGGTCGATGGGGTATATAGGTCGAAAGGCTCATTTTTAGCCTTAATTATTGAAAAATCCTTAGATAGGACGAACTTACTAAATAGGACGAGGCTTTGTTTTGCTATTTTCTAAAGATTTTTGCGCAGATACAATGTATCAGAACAGGTAAACCTCTAAAATTACCGGGGTTATTCCGTGACACGAACGTTTCAAGAAAATAAACTGGTATTTTAATGAATACAGCCTTTAAATAAAGTTTTATGTCAATGTAGTTAAAACTTCTTTGAATTGTTTCTCTATTTATTTTTCTCCAACTTGCCTGTTCAATACCTCCGTAGTTTCACACTGTTGTTAAACCGGGGGCGTAAATACGTTATTATTTTACAGCTATAACTCGGGAAATACCCGAGATCAAAGAATAATAATTCTGATTTCGACTTGGACACATTCCTAATATATTTTATTCAGGCATTATTTACCGGTGGACGACAATTACTGTGATGTCCGCCATTTTTATTTTTCTTCTCCAGAGATTTGCTAAAACACGCAAACGACCAATGACTGGCAAAAATTTATATCATGCATTCTACATTTAAAACCAGAAGTCTCTGTCGAGACTGTAGCTCTACTGGTTTGTACTTATCAAAAACCATTGCACTATTTTATGTATCTTTGTGTAGTCTACTTGTGTGCCAACTCATTTTGACATCAAACTAGAACTGTAGAAGGAGTAGCGTTTTAAAGGAATTTCACAGAAAATTCTATTTTTAGTAACCATGGAAACACCGTTCATCGAAATTAAAAACCGATGCACTATTCTATGTATCTTAGTGTAGTCTACTTGTGTGCCAAGTTATATTGAAATCAGACCAAAACTGCAGAAGGAGTAGCGTTTTAAAGGAATTTCACAGAAAATTCTATTTTTAGTAACCATGGCAACACCGTTCATCAAAATTAAAAACCATTGCACTATTCTATGTATCTTAGTGTAGTCTACTTGTGTGCCAAGTTATATTGAAATCAGACCAAAACTGTAGAAGGAGTAGCGTTTTTAAGGAATTTCACAGAAAATTCTATTTTTAGTAACCATGGCAACACCGTTCATCGAAATTAAAAACCGATGCACTATTCTATGTATCTTAGTGTAGTCTACTTGTGTGCCAAGTTATATTGAAATCAGACCAAAGCTGTAGAAGGAGTAGTGTTTTTAAGGAATTTCACAGAAAATTCTATTTTTAGTAACCATGGCAACACCATTCATCGAAATCAAAAACCGATGCACTATTCTTTGTATCTTAGTGTAGTCTACTTGTGTGCCAAGTTATATTGAAATCAGACTAAAATTGTAGGAGGAGTAGCGTTTTGAAAAATTGTTTACAGACAGACGGACAGACAGACGGACAGACAGACAGACAGACAGACAGACGGACGGACGCCGGACGCATTACTATCGCATAAGCTCTTCTGGTCTCTGACCAGTAGAGCTAAAAATATAGGCTGTCATGATAAAAAAAAATATTTGATATACTATTTCAATTTATCGCTACTAATAAATGGTAAAAACACTTCAGTTGTGATCGTGAAATATTTCTGTATTGAAAATTTTGATGCGGTTGCGGTTTTACTTTTAGTACACAATCGCAACTTCTTAACTTCACAAGATGGCAACCGCATGATGTTAATGGATAATACGTTGTGGAATTATTTACTAGATGAAGGAATGTTTTTTTCCTTAGACATCAACGAATTTTTAATGAAATATATTTTGTAAGAAAGCTTTAGAATTAATTATTTTTTTTACTGAAACATTAATTTTTTCTGCGTAAAATAATCAAAAAAGTAACGAAAGTGGTAGAAGCTTGCTTTGAAATTGACGTAAATTTTACTGATTTGGGGGCATTTTTCATAAACTCAAACCTTAAACAGGTCGCATTTTGTATATTGGGCGACCCCAGTGGTTCTGAGAAAAAAAGTATTGACCTATATTCCGTAAATTACGGTACTTTCCGAGGATTTCCCCACCCCACCCCTTCTGAGTGACCTATTTTCCGAGGATTCCCCCCCCCCCTCTGAGTGACCTACTTTCCGAGGATTTCCTGTTTTTTCTGGTCCTCTGAGGTGGGCAGTCCCATCTCTCGCTGTCTCTGGTCGTACATCATCTTCTCCACCAGTCCCCGCGTGTCACCCTCAAGGTCTGATAACTGAAATCACAGTTAATTAACAATCAAACTAGATCCCTACATGCTGTAACAATGGTACGAAATCAATTAAAGTTTACCAAAGGAGCATTCGAATGTTGGTGACTATATAGAAAAAAAAATCATAGCTTCATGATGTACACTTTTTATTAGGTTACCAAATTTGCTTGAAGGTTAATTTTTAAGAAAAAAAAAAGAATAGAGTTTAGATTTTTTTTTAATGAGTTTTGAATAAATATCGGACAAATTGACAAAGCAGACTTCCTGCTGTACATAAGAATGTATTGTCTGAGGTACCTTGGATGGCTCTGGGTTGACTTTCTTGGTGTTGATTTCTGGGTCTGTCATTATTAATTTATTCCACCACTCCATTCTGTTAACCTGATAAAGAAAAAGCTCAATTACAATTCAACCAATCATAATTTGTTACCAGTACATATAGATCTATTCAAATATTGTTCCTACTTGTACTGTCAAAGGGGAAAAAAAAAACACTTTTGCATGTCAACTCATGGTCGTTTCGTCAATTTATCTACCTTGATAAAAAATCCAATCTCAAATGGCAAAATAAACAATATTGTCTCCAAATTTATTACTCATTACCAATTTAAAACATAGATAATCAGAGATTACAGAGCTCACCTCAAAGTGTGTTGTCTTTAAGTAAGGCAAATTAAGTCACACAATTGACCAACAAAAAGTGTACATCCAAAAATGCAAAATTTATGCAATTTTGATACTTTGGAATAGACCTAAATAAAAACTAAAAACTAGTTCTTCATCATGAAAATGTAATTAAAATCCAGCATCTGAAGCAAGATTGAGAGTTTTCATCCCTTGATGCATCATTTAAGCAACTGGTTTATATAAGCCTTATAGTTTCTTGGTGATAGACTTGCACCCATAACTTTTACAAGGTCTATTATCTGGTAAATGTATGTCGAATTCAGCATCTGAAGCAAGTTCATTTGTGTGCATCCTAAGATGTATCATCCATGCAAGTTTGGTCAACATAGGGCTTAAAGTTACTTGCAAATGAAACCTGTATAAAATAATAAACCTTTCCACTAATCCAGAAAATGTAGGTCAGATTCAGCATCCGAAGCCAGCCTAGTAGAATGCACCCTTAGATGTACCATCCATGCAAGTTTGGTCATTATAGGGCTCAAAGTTACTTGGAAATGAATCCTGCACCATAAACTTTAACCTGTTTACCTGTCCAGAAAATGTAGGTCAGATTCAGCATCTGAATCAAGTCTGGTAGTATGCATCCTAAGATGTACCATCCATGCAATTTAGTCATTATAGGGTTCATAGTACACTGTACCTCGAAAATGAAACCTTCATCAAAAACTTTAACCTGTTCACTCAACCGGAAAATGTAGGTCAGATTCAGCATCCGAAGCAAGGCTGGTAGTATGCATCCTAAGATGTATCATCCATGTAAGTTTGGTCATTATATGTCTCATAGTAACTTGGAAATGAAACCTGCACCAAAAACTTTAACCTGTTCACTCAACCGGAAAATGTAGATCAGATTCATCATCCGAGGCAAGTCTAGTAGAATACATCCTAAGATGTACCATCCATGCAAGTTTGGTCATTATAGGGCTCAAAGTATCTTCGAAATGAAACCTTCATCAAAAACTTTAACCTGTTCACTCAACTGGAAAATGTAGGTCAGATTCAGCATCCGAAGCAAGGCTGGTAGTATGCATCCTAAGATGTATCATCCATGTAAGTTTGGTCATTATATGTCTCATAGTAACTTGGAAATGAAACCTGCACCAAAAACTTTAACCTGTTCACTCAACTGGAAAATGTAGGTCAGATTCAGCATCCGAAGCAAGTCTAGTAGAGTACATCCTAAGATGTACCATCCATGCAAGTTTGGTCATCATAGGGCTCAAAGTATCTTCGAAATGAAACCTTCATCAAAAACTTTAACCTGTTCACTCAACCGGAAAATGTAGGTCAGATTCAGCATCCGAAGCAAGGCTGGTAGTATGCATCCTAAGATGTATCATCCGTGTAAGTTTGGTCAACATAGGGCTTATAGTTACTCGGAAATGAGACCTACACCAAAAACTGCACCAACAAGATGTGTTTGTGAAACACTGATGCCCCCGTATGGCAACATAGCGAAGGTTAAGCTTTCTCTAATGCAGATCAAATATGTTGGTAATAGAGTAAGGCCTTTTTACAAGAAATGCGAAATATAAAACGCTAGCTACACCTGTTCCAGGGTTATGACCAAGGTTAACATTTTATAATACAGGACAAACTAAATTTCAAGGTGAAAGGGTCAAGGTTGTTGGGTATAAAGAAAGACTTTGTCTCAATGATTACGTATGGGAAGTATAAAAGCGCTGGCCCTTACCGTTCAAAAGTTATGACCAAGGTTAAAGTTTGTAAAAGGTAGGTAAAACTCAAAGGTCAGGGTCAAAGGGTCAAGATTCTTGATATCCAATGAAAGGTCTAGACACAAGGATTACACATGTGAAATATGAAAGCTCTAGCCCCTACTGTTCAAAAGTTATGGTCAAGGTTAAAGTTTGTAAAAAGTCAAACTCAAAGGTCAAGGTCAAAAGGGTCAAAGTTCTTGATATCAAATAAAAGGTCTGGTCACAGGGATTAAATTTGTGAAGTATAAATGCCCTAGCCCGAAGCCTTCAAAAATATGGTCAATGTTGTATTTTTAAAGTAGGTCAAACTCCAAGGTCAAGGTCAAAGTTCTTGGTATCCAATGAAAGGTCTTTTTATTAGAATTATATATGTGAAGTATGAAAGCCGTAGTAGTTATTGTTCAAAAATTATAGCCAACATATGTGAAGTATAAATGTCCTGGTGTCTACTATTCAAAAGATATGGCCAAAGTAAAATTTAAAAATTTTCATGTAAAAGTGGGTCAAACTCCAAGGTCAAGGTCAAAAGGTCAAATTTGGTGGTACCCAAAGAAAGGTCTTGTCACAAGGAATACACATATGAAATATGAAAGTCATAGCTCCACTAAATCAAAAGTTATGGGCAAGGTTAAAGTTTTTGCGGACAAACAGACAAACAGAGAGACAGACAGAGAGACAGAAAGACAGAGTGAAAGACAGACAGACGGACACGACAAAAACTATATGCCCCCGAAACTTCGTTTACGGGGCATAAAAATGTTAACCTGCACCAAAAACATTAGCCTGGTCATTCCTTTGCTGAAATTGCAGCATCTGAAACTTTGACTGGTACAATGAAACACACTAGCAACATCTTCCATGCATGTCTAATCAATATAGGACATAGAAGTTCTTAAAAAGAAATCTGCTCCAAAAAACTTAACCTTAACCCGGGACGCCTACGCCGACACCGACGCCGACGCCGAGGGTATCACATAAGCTCCCCCCAACTTCGTTGAGGTGAGCTAAAAATGCAAAGATCTATAAGTAACAATGTATAGTTTGATATTTCAAATGATGAAAACATGTCCATCTGTTTTAACCTTTTCTATATTTAGGGTGATGTATTTCTTATTATCTATCGTCCATGTTGACTCCTCCACTTTAATTTCATTAAACGTCTCCCCATCCATTATAGGAGGGTGGCCTTTAAGACCCACCTTCAAGTGCTGAAACAAATTCAAATCTTTGATTAAACAACCATAACCATACTACTGCATTTTCTATACACTTGACAATGTATAGATGCAATCTATCCAAGAAGGCCACCATTACTGGATATATGTAGTTCTTGATCTTTCAATTTTACCTGTCTTCAATCAATCTCCATAACTGAAGATTTCATGTTGTTTCTGTATATAGCACTCAAGATGTTTAAATGAATTGTATTATTCTCTTTCTTCCAATTTGCATATACACATTGTCCTTGAATAATTTATGCATTATGACACCGTTGAATGCAAAACATTCATCAGTTAACACTTACATTATATTTCATACATTTTGAATGCTCAAAAACTTTTTCTTTATCACTTGATGTATACAGTATATGGAAATACTAGTAAAAGAAATGCCTACCTTTCTACCAATTTCCACAACAACATCTTTTGATTTGATGGGAAATTTTACATCAAACCAGCACTGGCACTACAAAGATGAAGCAGAGTTTAAATTATCAATTTTATCTGGAAGCACAAAGATATGAATTCTCTCGGTGACATCCAGATAACAAACAACCCTCCTCAAAGAATGAAATCTAGCTCTGAAATCAAGACGACAAAACTATTAACGAGAGGCCAAATGAAATGCATACAAGTATTTTCCAACGACATCGAATATCATGTTTGATAAAATATTTGTCATGACAAATACAGGTCGATGGAAAGAAAATACATTTACCAGTGAGCCTTAGATTGTCCACATAAATAAATATTAAACTTTGAGCAAGAAAATTTACAATATTTAGTCAGATATAAGAGGAATGAACAGTTTTTTCACCAAACAATTTCTTTTTTATAGTTAAAATTGTCTGCTTATATGCATACATAAATCAAACGGTTTCCATTGCCCTTCTCATGTACAGTAGAAAACAAAGGACCCCCCTTACCTCAATTTCCTCCAGAGTTTGACTCCAGCGGTAGTTAGGCATGTCTCCTCCATTTCCAGCATTAGGGGGAACTTTCCCTTTATCAGCCTCATCCTCTTCATCAGACTGCAATTTAAAGAAAAATTCTACAACTACAGAGATGAATTTCTTTCCTAGTGAGGAGGTAAATTTTGTCAACAGAAGAAATAAAGCCTCTCAGAATGCAGTCTTCGAAATAACCTGGGTGCCCCATGCCCGTGACCTGGTTAATTTGCCATTGGGCATGTGAAAATTCTCAAATTACATGCCCGAAGGGCATGTGTGAATTTTCTTTTGATTCATGATGTTTACTTGCTATTTCTTCTGTTGTACCCCTGTTATTTGTGTAAACTTGCTATGTAATGTCTTAATCTGAATTGCAAGTTTACATTCGTCTTACGTTACATTATCGGTACAACCTGTCAAATGATTTTCAATTGTAATCATTAAAATGTGTAATATAACCGATTTTTTTTCTTGGTGTTTCTTGCTAAATTACATAGCACAAAATGTTTATAGATACCACGTGCAGTGGACTGCTTTCATGATGATCATGATCCTATTTCTGAAATTCAGTTCAGCTATACTGGCCAACAAATGACCAGCATGCGAGTCAAAAGTTGTGAACAAAAATGCATGTGAAAATGGCAGACAGGCAGGCCAATGTTGATTTTTTAAAACTCAGGAAACACTTTAAACTAAAGATCGAGAGAATTTAAAAAACAGAAACACTGTCCTTATAGTTTTTATAAAAACCTTATTTTTTGTTGCACAGTCATATCTCTGCTATATGAATGAATTTTGAGTAGGGCATGTACAAATTTCAATGGGCTGGGTTAAAATGACCCATATACATGCCCGAAGGGCATGTGCTGAAAAAGAATTGTTGTGAAGACTGAGAATGGTAGATAAATTTGAAATTTTGGTTTAAATATGTTATTCACAGTAAATTCTTTGAAATCTTTTTGGACATCTTTTTATCAATTGAACTCTGGAACTCTGAATCTCTTAACTAAAGTAAATGTTTCATTTAAATTTTTTCTACATATTCTACAAACTACTTTATAAAGTCAACTTAAGACCCCCCAGTCTATTTCTGTATCACCTTCTCTTTGTCTCCATTTTCCTTTGATTTTTCCTCCTTCTCTTTTTCTGGTTCAGGCTCCGATGCAGGAGTCTCTTTTTTCTGGTAAAAGAAAAGAACATAGGATATTATTGTCTACATCCATATGATGATGAGCTTGCTGCAGCCAATAAATAAAATTACTTTTCTATTCACTTTCTGACTGAAAGCACTGTATTCTAATCGTATCAACATGCAGAAATGAAGAAGACTTTGATCTTAATTGCATTTTAAAACCACGAGAAGATTTCCGAATGCAAAGTTTAAGATAGATCAGTTTATATATGCACTCCATAGTTTGATAACTTAGATGAAGTTGCTTTTTTTCATATTTTCATGCAATATAATGGGCATGAGATAATCACTATTATTACACTTTCATGTTAAATACTAAAATCTGATTGGTTTAGATGCAGTTAACAATCCGTTCGATTACCCTGAGCCTTAGCAACACACGTCACAACGGGTAACACAACGGTAATGCTACATGCGTGGAAATTATGCGCGTACGGTTCACTGTAGAATTCTCAAAACGTCAGTTGCGCGTTTGAAAGAACCGGAATTAACTTGACGTCAATAAAAGCTTGCGTCCGATATAGCTTACTTGAAAACAACAAACGACAGACGATACATGCTTGCGAGTGTAGGAAACATGCTTGCGAGCCAGAAATAATGAAATTTTATATGATAAATGACTCTAATTCGAGTATCAAACAAACAACAAGGAGATTAGTGAACCGGTGAGTGTGAAAGCTTTCTATACATGAACGTAAAGACGATCCACGGTTTTTTTTTTTGCTGACGTCCTAAATCAATAAGACATTCAGTATAATAAAATAAATGGTGTGACGCAGAGGTTGACAATGGTTTTCCGAGGGGTGTCAATTTCAAATGTTACCCTACAAAACAGGCACCATTTATATAATATATAATGTACTTAGGTATAGGGCATACTTGAAGAAAGAATCTTGGATCTGCAGTACGTTTTTTATCAAATCAATTTTCCTTGAACAAGGAGCACACTCAAGGGAAGTTACTCTAGATCATGTCAATAGTTGCGATACAATCTATGGATTTCACATAACAGCTCCGGCCAAATCCCAATGATGGAAATTCATAGCCAGAAAAATTTCATGTACAGGCGGTTAATTTTGCCGGTTTTCAGCTCTTATTAAAAACAATGCCTTATAACCTATACACTACAAGTACTTTGTCAATTTATTTCTGTACCTATTTTCAGACCACCTTGTCAATTTCTTTCTCTGTTTTTTTCAGATCATGGCTTTATACACTGTGCCTTGCCAATTTCTTCCAGTGTTTTTTTTTTCAGACCATGTCTTAATACATTGTACTTTGACCATTTCTTTCTGTATGTTTTTTTTTTCAGAACATGACTTAATACCCTGTACCTTGTCAATTTCTTACTGCATTTTTTTCCCCATAACTTCATACACTGTACGTACCTTGTCGATTTCTTTCTGTATTTTTTCGGCCTCTTCGTCGGTGACCTCCTTTATTTTGGGTTCTTCCTCCTCCTTCTTCAATCTCTCCATCTCCGCTTCTTCCTCAGCTTTCCTCTTTGCAATCTTTTCTTTCCTCTTTCTCTCTTGTTCTTCACGCTCCTTCTTTATTTCCTCTTTCTGTCTTTCTGCGATCTTTTCATACTTTTTGAAATTTTCCAGCAAGATCTGTTTTCAGGAAATCAGACATAAATAGGTCAAAAATTTTACCAGAATGATACAAGTATATTTACACAGAGTATTGATTTTCAGTCCTTGAAAAAAAGACAAATTGTTTCTCTTTATTACAAAAGTCAATCTGTACACTTCATTGAATTCGAACTTGTTATTAACTTTGAAGAATCCTTACATGATTTTTTTCAATAGAAATGATCCCTGTTTTAATGTTTACTTGTCTATTTTTATTTCACAATTTTTAGGCTTTACGTGTCTATTTTTAGCTCCTTACCCTCTCTGCCTGCCCCGGGGCACCAGCTGTGTAGTAGTCTGTCTTCCGGACCAGAAAACTGAACAAACAATCTAGGAGCTGTAACAGATAAAGATTTAAATTGGTTTTCTGCAAAACATTTTCATTACAGTTACTGGTATCACATCTATAGAAGTAAAGTTGGTAAACCAAAGCATAATTGAATAGTACTAATCATTTTTAATGAATTTTTATTGTTAACATGCAAGAACGTTTGTTTGTAATGTTTTATGTGGACATCCCTCTTGAGAATTTTTCACTCATTTGGACACACCACAATATGCTGTTGGAGCAAACTTGGAGGGCTGATAAATTATACCTATATTCAGCACTCAAGGCTATACTATAGAGCACTGAGGGAACATTTTCATGCCAACACCTACAGCAACACTGATCCACAGGTTTTTATATGGATTCATCCAAAGGACCATGGTCTCCGCGTCTAGCTGCTGGACTGTAGCTCTTCAAAAAAAATAGATTGACAGATCGAAGAGCTACAGTGCTACCCATTGAAAAAACTGTATATTCATTGCACACAAAAAAGGGCGCTGTTTCTCAATTTATTTCTCCATGTTTTTAAAACTATCATCTCAAAATTTTATTAACCATGTGTTCCTAACATATTCTTTCACTGTTTCCATGACAAAACATTCCTCCTTGTTGTTTTTAATAGCCCTCTTGGCCCTGAGTTTGAGATCATCAAAAATTTCGCCTATTTATACTGTCATTTTGGTTTGCAAGATAAATTGGTCCAAAGCACTTCATACAGATTCTAAGCTACAAGAGTACTTGATAGAGGAGTAAGGACTTTTTTGAAATCTAGCTTTTTTGCAGTTAAGGTAAGAATCTTGAAGAATTAATCCAGAACCAAGCGCAATTATTTGTGCACAATAAATGTAGTTTTTTCAATGGGTGGCACTGTAGCTCTCCGGTCTGTCAATATATATTTTTTCGGAGAGCTACAGTTCTGCAGCTACTCCACATCCAGCAGTGGATCCGAACCTGTGACATAAGGATCAGGTCTTTACTCAGCCACTATACAGCAGACACTCTAACCACTTTGTGAGTACGTTGTTTGCAGCAAAATGCATTTTACCCTTCTAGAATGTGGGTCTAGAGGTTAATGGGTGAAATTTCATTTCAATTTCATGGATCAATATGCAAAGTCTAAATTTTGCCCAGGCCTTGTTGTTAAAGCTCTTTATGCGAACGGCACTTCATGCCACTCATTTCGCTTGCGTTTAGCTTATTTTATCTGAGGTGAACAAGATCTGCACACACCAAAACCAGGAAAATACCACCCTACTTTCACTTTCTCTAAGGAACATTAGCATTTTAATACACCAACATTCAAACACTGATAAAAACCTCATCAATTCCTTTTTCACTGCGCTGACACATTGCCAGGAACATGCCATCAAACTTCTCTGAGTCATGCCCTGCCATTTTGCAGCGAAATACGAAAGAATTTTCCTTGGTCTTTCCGACGAGTCCACACCGAACCGCGATTCTGGTTAATTGGACGCTTTAAAATCCTGTCTGTACATTTGTTTCTGAAAAGAGAAATAAAGACGCAGACATCGCGCATGTGCAAATTCAGGCTTCCGTAAACAGACGAAAATGTCAAACTTGTCACTAAGTCGAAGTCAAACGTTCAGAAATCCGGACGAAGATTTTATTTTACATGGTCAACGGTCATCTTATTGGTAAACAGCAATCAACAGTGCATTTAAAGCAGAATTTTAGTTTTAATTGCACGTGTCATTAATAATGACACGTTTTCGCGCGTTGCCATGTGAAACAACCTTTTTATCAGCGCTACAAAGAAAAGTCGGCATGCGCCAAATATTCATAATTTTATTAATTTACCTCTTTTATCAGATAACCTAATCATTTTGACTAATACTTAATTTTTATCTTAATTATGCATCCTATAACACAAAAAGGTTACATTTCATAATATATTTAAACATGATTTAGAAAGGGGGGGGGGTGTTGTTTTTGTTAAATGTTGACATCTAGAATTAAAAATACTGATTGATAGAATGTATAGGTTACTGGTACCTTTGCCAGCCAAAGGTTTTTATTCCACATTACTCTCCACATAATATTGACAGATAATATGTTACTAAAACTATGACCACAAAGTATTTTAGAATCTTAATTACTATTGCTTGAGTTTGAAAGCAATTGGTGAAATTTATTTGATATATATTTTAAGGGAAAAACCAGACTATGCTACCAACTCCCAGCTTACGAGCACTACAGAGAGGCTTTGTCAACAGATGAAGTTTAACCCTGAAAAGTATGAGGACAAACGTGGCACTCTACGAAATCTGGCGAGCAAATTGGACCGAGTCAGCCAGGAACTGACCAACACTTTCTCTCGGAGTGTTACGTTTAATGACAGCATGGTGAGAAAACCATCAGTGGAGGAGATAGTCCGGATTGACCACCTGTACGATCAGGAGTTTCCGGAGGCCAAATTATCAAGGTTTACTCCATCCATCTCTAAATCTGACAAATCAAAGTTTTATCAAACAGATGATTATACCTGGAAAGAGAGAAGTGAATTTCCTTTAGCAACTTACGATTCCTTAGCGAAAAAATATTATCCCGTCACATTTAGTGCTATGCTTGAGGAAGAGAAATTGACAGATCAGCGGATGCGGTCCCAGTGTTTGTCCACTCCGGCGACAGGAAGGCGACACGCCTACACGAGAGCCAAGTCAGCGTTGCAGAAGCTGAGGCAGACAGCTGACGATGACAGATATCTTAAGTATAAGACAAAGAAGTTCCAGATGATCGAGAGAGATGATGCTGAGAAATTGTATTCACTGTCCTCCTATGCACCAACAATTGGTTAGTATCTTTATAAAGTTAATTTGGTTATCTACTAGACAAGTACACTATTGAAGTACGGAATGTAATATAGTAAACAGATATCAGAGTGATGCAGAGCTGTGCAAGGATTTCCTTTTCAAAATCAAAATTATGTACCTTTTCATGATTTCTGGTATGAAAATTAAGATCTTGTAAATAGATTTCTTCTGCAGTTTAATGCTTAGGACTCATTTTTTCTTAATCAAGAAGAATAAGTTAAAACATATCTTTTTGCACAATTATAATTTTCTCCACATGAATACACACATGGATGTACCTCTGTTGAAATTTGTTCACCTATTAAAGAAATCAATTCAAAGTAAACAGAGTTTACATGGCAAGGTTTATCAGATAAAATGAACAAATTTACTTCATCTTCTTTAAATATTTAGTTAAATATTTGCATCTCTAATTTATTTCAGCTTCAGCCAATGGCATGCTTATAACTCCTTATGATGAGGACATTGCCACTTTACGACGAAATCGACTTCGCCTTGAGGAGGAAAGACTCCTAGAATTAAAGAAATTAGAAGAAATAGAAAGACTTAGGCCCCCAAGGGAAAAATGGTAAATAAAAAAAAAAATTGTAAAGGGATAATACATAATTATGTTTACTTTCTTAGAAAAAAAATAGTAGATTCAACTGGAAGATGGAATATCACTAATAGATTTTTCTTGAATTGATTAGTAATCCCCCCCTTTTTTGGCAAGAATTTTTTTTTCAAATAATTTAATTTATTTTAGGTATGAGTCAACAGGGACAGATTTCCATTATGAATGTCACAAAAACACAGAACTGGAAAAAACGGAACAAAAATGGCGGGACACAACCAAGAAAATAGAACGCAATGACACTTTAATGAAATCTCTATCCCAAATTTGTGTTTAAGTAAAGACTTTTGAGTCTTTTAAATCTGTACCTATATGAATGTACCATGGATATCTGTCATAGAATGGGTCAAAGGATAGCAAGATGTTTGCCCCCAGAGAATGTATGCCAAGTAATATTTCCCTTATAAAGAGGTTAGATTTGACACATAGTAAGATATGTCTTTTTCAATCCTATATGAATATGAATGCAGAAATGAAGTCAGCTTCAGCTGTTGAAAGTTAGTGTGATTTTTTTTCAATTGGGGGGGGGGGGGGGGGGGGGTAGGGTGAAAACATAATGTTTATGAGTTTATCTTAAGGATATATGGCATGCAACGTACCTTACCTACTGATAATTTTTTTAAGATATTTTTGATGTCATAAGATGTTCATAGACAAAAAATCAGCATACATTACCAGGGGTTTTTGAAAGATATTGATTGATAAAAATTTTTTGATGATTCAAAGAAAAATATATAAAAAATACTAAACATATATTCTAGATGTTTCTTTAATTCAAAATTGTTATAGAAGAAGTGTAGAACACCATACATATATAAGTTAATATATAACACACAGTTCCTTCAACTCCAATGAAAAAGACGGAAAAGTTCAGACTATGTTGCGTATGACCTTAAATTAATTTCATCAATTTTCATTGGCATTAATTTTCTTGTATTTTGTAAAACAGATGTTTTCGAGGATACCTAAGTTTGTGGACAAAAGCATTGCCTCTACAAATGAATTACAAATTATTTCTGAATTCAATGAACATTTAAATTCAAGGATCTGCTCAACATTTAAGAAATCCTCAAAAATTGGTGCTCAACGAAATATTGATGAAACCACAGTACATTTTCTTTATATGTGTTTTTACGTAGATGCTCACAGCAACATAGTTGCTCATAGATGCCCTATAACTTCATAATATATTTATGGGGTTTTTTGTGAGCTTCACAATTGCTTTCACTGTTTCACAATAGTTAGATCAGAATACTGCCTCTAGTATATGATGTTTTTATATTCACTTGTTATTGTGTATCCAGTATCTAGTGTTCTTTGTATGCCCTTTCTTTTGTTGTCTGTTATTTCAAAAAAGTTGTTTTTTTTTAGCTTTAAATTTCCCCCTTTTTTGATGAGTGAAACAAATATGGATTTTGTCTGATATTAAGTTTGTTGGGTTGTTTTTACTGTGTACATGAACATTTTTTTTAACTTTCAGCTTAAATTGAAATGCTTGTTTTTTGTAAGAAATTGTGACCATACATCCTCCATGTTATAATTATTTTAATTTAAGCAAATCACTGTGATAAATTTAGTTCTTTATACATATGTTATCCAGGGGCTTTATTTTTTAATTTTTTTATTCATTTATTTCTAATTTAGTTTCATAAGTACATTTATCAAAATTCAGGTACCATGCAGTATTTTTTAATCACAATGTAGCATCATTTGAAGATAATAATTTATTATTGTAGTTTTTATAAAGAATTACAATTTTTCTTTAAATAAACCAATGCAACAATAGGAACATTTTTTTGTTTTCTTTCAATTTACTTGACAATATATGGAAATAGCACAAAATATTGTATACAGATGACTGTTTTCTTAAATGACATTAGTTCTGCCACTTTTTCATTCTGTCACTTAATTCAAAAGACTGTACTTAGGAAATCAGTTATAACGAAAGTCCACTTAGGAGTGGAGTCTTCTCCCTACCCCCCTTATTCTGCCGTTACATGTATATTCCATATACTACAAAATATATCAACTTTATGGCTGTGTCCTCTCAATAATAACATTTGACGAATATTTATTTTTTAGCTCATCTGGCTCAAGTGAGCTTTTCTGATCAAAATTTGTCCGTTGTCTGTCGTTGTCGTTGTTGGCGTCATTGTAAACTTTTCACATTTTCATCTTCTTTTCAAGAACCACTGGGCCAATTTCAACCAAACTTGCTACAAAGTATCCTTTGGTCAAGAGGATTCAAGTTTGTTCAAATGAAGGGCCACATCCTCTTCTGAGGGGAGATAATTATGAATGTGAAAAATTAATGACATCTTTTAAAAGTCATCTTCTCAAGAACCACTGGGCCAGAAAAGATGAAACATGGAAGCATCCTCAAGTAGTGTAGATTCAAGTTTATTCAAATCATGACCCTCAGAGGTAGGGAGGGGTCACAATGGGGTATCAAATTTCAACATAGGAACACATAGGAAAAATCTTTTAAAATCTTCTCAAGAACCACTGGTCCAAGAAAGATGAAACTCTGTGGAATCATCCTCAGGTAGTGAAGATTCAAGTTTGTTCAAATCATGACCCCTGTGGGGTAGGGAAGGGCCATTGTTGCAACCACTATTGAAATAACGACCACTATTGAAATAATTATATCAGTTGTGGTTGAGAGTGCATTTAAATAGCAAACATAGTTAGTAATCACTATAGAAATACAACCACCATTGAAATAATTATATCAGTAGTGGTTGAGAGTGCATTTCAATAGCAAACATAGTTAGTAACCACTATTGAAATACAACCACTATTGAAATAATTATATTAATAGTGGTTGAGAGTGCATTTTCAATAACAAACATAGGTGATAACCACTTTTGAAATACAACCACTGGTCGTTATTTCAATAGTGGTTGCAACAGGCCACGATGGGGTATCAAAGTTCAACAAAGGAATACATTTATAAGAGAAATCTTCTTCTCAAGAACCACTAAGCCAGGAAAGATGAAACTAATGTGGAATCATCTTCCAGTAGTGAAGATTCAAGTTTGT